CAGCCACACATGACACGAATGACGTCATGGGACTTATTCATTTTTCTGCTCATTTGTGGAGGCACCATCAAGAGACTCCTTGGCCTTTGCGGCCTACATCCAGCACAGAGCGAGGCAAGAGGATAGCTAAACAGAGAGCAAAGGCTCCTTCAGCACTGGCAGTTCGCTCAGAGCTTGGCTGCCATGTTGCTGACATCTTGTGCATAGTTCCTGCACCAGATCTGGAGTGTCAAGACATCGAAGAAACACACGTTTACGAGTGCATCTAGTGCCAAGCCGAGTGCTGGGATCAGGAAGACAGCTCCTACACCCTCCTAGACTTTCTAACTTGGCGAGTCAACTAAACACGCAAAACATGTACATGCTTGCTGTCAAGAGAATGCTTACCTGAGGCCAGCCATGGCATTTCTGGTAGTTTCTAGCATCAATCTTGGGGAGATGCAGGATTGTTCCAGCGTGGAGCTTTAAAAAGACGGGTCACACTTCCGGCGGAGCTTCTGCTCTCTTGCAGTAGCGTGCCCCTGGTCACGAGTTTGCGGCAGTTTGCGGTCTTCTTTGCGAGCTGAGGGCCAAGGCTTACTATGCATATTTGGAGCCTTGTGCCTCCGGGTTTGTTGATTGTTAAGTAGCTTCGTCTCCGGTGTAGCATTTGCCCGGCATGACAATGACTCTGTGTAATATTGTTATTTCCTATCCTTTCGAGATTTGATCTGGCCACCGCAGTCAGAGACGTTTCATAGCCTTCGGCACAAAGGAGATTCCCTTTGGTTTCAGTATTGGAGGAATTGTGCCGGTGTCTGAACAGATTGCGAGTGGGGGCAATGCCTTACATTGCCTGACCCTTGCGTCGGTTTTTGATGGCCAACGCTACCTCTGACTACGTCTAACTGCGCTGACTGCCTTTGACTTCTCAGTCACTGAGTTCATGAACGTTCATTAGACTCATTAGAGGCGTGTCTTGAACCAGGTCCCTCAGGAGACCTACGACGTGTACCGGGATGAGGCAATTTGCGCTTTGTTCTGCCTTTCAAGTGTCCTGCCTCGGTGCGGGTATCTGGCAGGTGTTGAGAGAAAGTTTGGCGGTCAGTTGCGACCTTGGCATCGTTCTCATCGTTTCAGAGGCATTCATGCTAAGCTGCTCATCTTTCGAGGCGAGGCATCCCAGCGAATGTGGGCGCAATGGTCAAAGGACCTTCTGTGTGTCGCAGCTGTTTCCTATTCAGAAGCGATTCTGCTGACTTGTTCACGTGATGTACTATTCAGCTTATCATGGTGCAGGACAGCAAGTTGGCCGAGCACCACAATGTCATGGTTCAGCGGTCCTCGCAGAAGCAACAGACTCAGCCCTATCTAGCCCTTTCTTTTTAATTGCTTTCTTAGATGGGCACTCGGCACATCCCGGCATCTGGTGGAGGCGCAACCAGCTCCTCGACGAGTTGCGAAAAAAGGAGGCGGAGGTCAGCCAAAGATTTGGGGCACACAGGTCTGACATGTCTGACTCGACGCAGGAGTGCACCTTCCAGCCGAAGACCTTGTCACGAGGAAGCCCAAGAACGTTTTCTCGCCCGGACACAACAGGCATCTCTCATGAGTGATGCTTCCGGGATGCAGTGCCATCATGATTGCAGTATTTGAGCAACTCCTCACATGAAACCTTGAGCTTTTCCGAAACAGGTGAGGTTAAGTGGGAGCAGCGTGTTCAGCTCAGTTCTGTTATCGGCATCGAAAAGGTCTTCTCGAGTTAACATATACTGTGATGTGGGGAGAGTCGCTGAACAGGCTTGGACCAGCACAAGAGAGACCAACGCTTAAAGCAAGTTGAGGCAAGGCATGCGCAGGTGAGCCCGCTCGGAACTGGAAATGGAGAAACTGCTTGGGTGGAAGGCGCAGCACTATGCGGAACTGACCTTGAAACCGAAGATCAGCCCTTTTGCGCAGGCCGCTGCGTACGGATAGGTAGAGTTACCTAGGCCTGTCTTACAGAGTCATACGGAGTCCAGCTGCAGGCCTGGAGTCAGAAGCAGGCGGAGGCCGAGCACAGCATGACCCACTGTGTGACCAACTTTTCCAGCGTCTTGAAGAACGCTTTTCATCTTGTTCTCGATTTGAAGCCCTCGGTTTTGCCCTCAAAGGCCGTTCGTGAAAGCACGAGCGCAAGCAGCGTTTTCGAGCGCCTCTATCAGGCAGCACTGCAGCAGGCCTCCCAACAGCTCATGACCCCAGCTGGCCTGTCTACAAAGCACTTTTGCATGATTATCAGCGAAAGTTGACTAGACTAGTCACTAGACTAGTCACTGACTAGTCTTCCAGTTGTGGGCCAGCAACCTGCCAGCTGTCTGTGCCCACCTGCTGGATTCACGAAGGAGGAGAAGCAGACAGCAGCCAAAAGAGAACGTGAGTCTGACCAGGCCAGAGTTCGAATGGACTTTGTCGAGACATGGCACATCTTTTTTCTCCATCTTCCTCTTTCTTTCGCACGAGTGTACTTGTCCAGTATGCTGGTTGCAACGATGAGAGTACTGAACCAGAGGCGGAGTGTCTTTCTCCGCCTGCGGCTGTAAGCAACCGCAACTCACCTCCGCGAAGGCCATGGTCTGATGATTCTCACTCGTTTTGCAGTGCATGCCGTAGATTTTAGTTTGAACCCGCCGTGCCTTTAGAAACTGGTTGTGCGTGCACTGCTTCGGCAAGAGAAGTCATGCTCATGCTGTCTAGTCATCAGGATTCCGACATCTGAGCTTCTCTACAGCGATGCTTTAGACCGCCGCGAGCGGCTCCGCATTATGACGGACCGAAAAGATTCGGAAGTCGGCAGCTTTGAGAATCTCGGGACTTGACGGCAAATCTCTGCAAATGCCTGACAGGAGCAAATGCAGCTGCGGCGCGAAGAGGAAACGAAGGAACGATGCGCAGCATCGCCCTCAGTCGCTCTGATAGGCCAATACGCCCGAGACCATTCACTACGAACTCCAATCCTACGATCCGCAGCAAGGCACATACACCAAGGAACATCACCGTACACAGATACACCAACATATGCAGACACTGGGCAAGCAGCCCAAAATCGACAAAACCCTCACCTGCAAGCTTTTTGAACAGCCTCATCCACCCTCCTCCAGATCCACCCTCGCAGACAGGAGCAAAGATCGTTACAGTGGCATCGACTTGCAGTAGGAACGGATCGATATGAGAAGCGCGCTACACAGAGAAACCAGGCCCTGCCCATGTTTTCGCAACAAGCCCGGAAGAACAAAACACAATGGCTCCAAGACAATGGAATCGACCACAACAACTGGTAGCAAACGCAAGGCAAATCGACCTCTCAGACCCACAAATTCACGGGGGCGCTCTCGTTAGCTCGGACCAGTTATAGACACACATGCGCGTGCAGACCGAAATGTTCACAGTGTTCGAACGGGTTGCCACACATGGCAGCGGCTCAGATTCAGCAAGGGGAAGAGCGACCCCTCAAACTACTCACTTTGCAATCTTTTCCAATAGCACCTAGCTGACAGAAGGGCGCGAAGGTCGCTTAGTGTCGATGACGCTTCTCATGTTTTGTCGAGGTTTTCACCTTTCGTTTTGGATCCTGAACCATGTGATGTGAGCCCTAAAATAGAGCAGTGAGTAGCGAAGCCTGATCCTGAAGCTACCTGACGAGCCTTGGAGGCGGTGCTCTCGGCAGCAGATGAGGTCACGCGTCAGATTCCCCACCCCGCGTCGCTGCGTAGCCAGCCTCATGTGTACGGAAAGAAGTAAAAAGATGTAAAAAGTGAACCTGCGTAAGCCGCTCCGGAGCAAGACCTGGCTCAGGCCCCTGAAAAAGAGGGAGTGGGGGATGTGCTTTGAATTTGAGGATAAATTGGAGGTCGTACGGGGTAGTTTGCACAAACGAGAAAGTGCAGGAGCTCTGCAACAGTTGAGTGCTCACCAGCCTTCTCCCAAGCCGTTTCAATCGGACCACGCCAACAGGGGTCGTGGTGGCCCTGTGGAAACGGGCCCTTGCTCAAAGCCGTCGAGAAGCAGGAGAAGAAGAAGGAGAAGGAGAAGGAGAAAAAGACGGAGAAGAAGAAGAAGAAGAAGAAGAAGAAGAAGAAGAAGAAGAAGAAGAAGAAGAAGAAGAAGAAGAAGAAGAAGGAGAACTGTGGGCGAAGCTTCAAGGAGATCAGGAAGGAGCAAAGGAGAAGAAAAGAAGCAGGAAAAAGAGAAGGAGCCAAGGAGAAGAAGGACAAGAAGGAGAAGAAGACAAATAAGTTGTTTATGTTATGAGGGGTGAGGGAGCGTGCAACGAGCCGAGCCTGCAACAAGAGCTGCTTTTGGCAGGCAGCAAGGAACAGGGAGAAGCAAACATTTATCCGGTAAGACAACGGACAAGTGATCGCCCTTTAGGATAGAGATGACATCATGAAACCTTCATAAGAAAGAGTGCTAACACCGGCTCGCAAAGGTGCTCTACAAGTCAAGCAGGTTGTACTATCAGCTCATCGAGAAGCAGATCAAGGTCCTTGAAGCTCAAACTTCTGCCTAGTAAAAGACGCGACCTGTCTGGAGGCGGCCTTTGATGGAGCAGCCAACGGGCAATCACAGCTCGCTCAAGCATCTTTGGAGGACAAGCTGAAAAACCAATGAAGATACACAGCCTTTGCAAGATGCGCGCTTCTTCCCCGCAACTCTCAGATGCTGCTGCTACCCGTGGCTACTGTTACTTGAGAGGACTTCTTGGTCCGCTTCAAGTGCATGAGGCCAAGAAAGAATGGTGAGGCCTGTTGATTTGCAGAGAATCGAGTTTTTGGGGCGGGCAATGGGTGATGTTGGAGCTTTGGTGGTGCTGGTGCTGGTGGTGTGAAAGTCAATAGCTTTGTGGATGTTCGCACGTAGCGTGCACGGGTTTATTATCGGTCGATTTTGTAGATTGCCATGCTGCTCTTCTGGCTCAGCTGTGCTAATGGATTGTTCCACTGACATTCCTTCCTGGTGTTTTTTGGGTCAGCCGTGCTGCAATGGCGGCGAGGGCCTTACACTGTCTTACATGCTCTGGATGTGCTGCCACATCCGCAGACCGTAGCGGCCGTAGCGTCTGACCGTCGCATTGGGGCCCTGTTGATGAGGTGGTCAGTAAAATGGCGTCCGCCAAGAGCAGCCGCGCGCCTGCAGTCGTAGCAGGCTCGGATGGATTCTTTACGCCCAATCGGCCGTCCTGTGACTTGCGGCTTTCGTGAGTCGACACCCGGCTTTCTGAGTTTATTTTGTGCTCTACGCTTGGAGGTGCTGCAGCTCTTCTGCTGGCACCGACCTTCTTGGCCCCTCAGGCCCCACGGCAAGTGGAGGTTGGGACGGAGATCGTGTTTTGTACTGCGTTTTGGAGCTTCCGTCGTTGGTTGCCGACAGTGCCCCTGAACAGGTGCACCAATCACGCGCTGCCACGACTGGTAACGTTGCGAGGAGCGGCGCTGCTGAAACTTTAACATCTGTCGGTGCTGCAAGTGCTGCTGCCCTGGCCGGTGCCGCCGTGGCTACTGGCTCCAGTGCCTGGGCGTAATGAGTTGAACTTGAAAGACGAGTGCAAGAAACGACGAAACGGCGTATTTTCTTCGACTGCGCCTTGTTTCCTTCGATGTTCCTCGTCTCCGAGGCCGAAAACTTACTTCCAGAGGTGCACTGGCCCGGAGCTCCAAGTCGCAACAGAACGACAAGGCGCCTGTCTCCACCGCCAGTCGACTCTGTGCCACGTGATGCCACGTGTGATCCGAAGGGTCCAGTGCTAGTGCTGCTAAACAGGAGTTTCAAAGACGCATCTCTCATTTGATCTCTGTGGCGCAAGTGCTGCTTCAGCGCCCAGGACCAGGCACCGATTCATGCGGACCTTGTTTCTGCCTTCTCATGGGCTTAGCTGCCTTGACTTTCCTTGACTTTCTTCAGACCAGCTACAGCACTTGGTGCACGAGCTCCAGTCCTTCGCCGCCGCCGAGCTTCGGCGTTCTGTGACTCTGTCAGCTTCCGTGGCCAGCGCCTTTGCAGATGTAGTTGCAAGTGCCGAGGCACGATGCCCGCTCTGCTGTAGCCGCAAGAACGGACCAGGTTGTCGAGAAATCAAAGGAGACTCTGAAGCTGCGCCAGGAGGCCACACGATCGAGCGCCGAGGGCCAGCTTCGCTGGGCTGCTAGCGCTGCAGCATCTCTTCTTCTCACCTTCGCGGTGACACTGCAGCCCTTTGCCGGCATTGCGCAGAAAGCGAAATGTGTACATGTGTTGAATTGTATAAACTTTATACAGGTAGATGTGGGCATTGCCGGCATTTTGGCAACAGCGAAGGCCGGCCAACGCAGCGGATGTCGTGAACTACTCTGACTTCCTGGACTCCGTCAAAAAGGGGGACGTGGAGATGGTGCGTGTGCAGAATGACATGCTGTCAGCGCAGTACACAACAAAGGACCGGGGACCTAAACACACGTAAAAGAGTACATAGGAAGGCAGAGGCGGAAACAGAATGCTGCTGCTGACCCAGTGCATCCCACTGCTGGCATGCTTTGTAGATTGAGACTTGAGAACGACTTGAAGATCTCGCATGCTGTTCTCAGGATGGTGCCAGAAGGGATGTCAACCTCATACCCAACGCTCAGATCGAAGATGAACTGTTCAACACGCTTGCAGACAAGAAGGTGGACGTCGTTCCTTTCGACCGAACTGTACCTGGTTGCCCTGTTTGCTGTTTGCGCCTTCGGAGCTTTGCACTCTCCATGTTTGGGCCGCCTCTAGCTCAGGTTATGCAGAATGCCAATGCCGGTGGCTCTCCTTTTGATTTCCTCGCCCGCTTTGCGGGCCCCATTGCCTGGCTGATCGCCGGCTTGCTGCTTCTATTTGGAGGTCTGCCATTTGGAGGCAGGACAAGCTAGTGACAAGCCCACGCTGCTGTGGCAGCAAAGGCAAAAAGACTAAACGACGTGTTAGTTCGTTACACTTAGAAGTGTGACAAGAAGTCTTCTCTGGTGTGCCCTTGGCATAGGTCCTGCGGGTCCTGGAGGCCCGGGAGGCAATCCCTTCGAGCTTGGAAAGTCGAAAGCCCGCATCATCAAGGACCTCCTGACCAGCCAGCATTACAGTGGAGTTCGGGCTTTTGCTGTTGCTTGCGGTAGAGCCGTTTGCGTGCATTTGCACTCGTTGGCGATTGATCGCCGTATATTGCAATCATGTGCGCATACGCGGAGGACGGCGACACCAAAGTCAAGTTCGGGGATGTTGCAGGCATATGCCTCTGCCGTTTCTGATGAAATCTCGCTGGTTGAATATGTTGAATATGTTGAATATGCTGTCGCCGGTCACAGCTTTGACGACTGGCTGAGGCTGTGACGGTGCAAAGCAAGAGTTGGTGGAGGTCGTAGACTTCTTAAAGAACACGTCAAGGCACGCACCAGGACAAGCTAGTCATAGCCAGACGGGTTCCCAGGCAGATTCCAATTGCTCGTAGTGCTCAGTGCAGGTATTCAGAACTCGGTGCCAAGATTCCGAAGGGTGCTTTGCTGGTGGGCCCACCAGGGACTGGAAAGACGCTGCTTGCAAAGGCTGTGGCGGGTGAGGCTCGAAGCGTGTGGGCTTTGATGAGTGTTTGTCATAATGTTACATGTTCGTTTGAGTAATGTTGAGTCCGGACTGCATTGCAGCTTAGTTTAGGCTGGCGTGCCGTTCTTCAGCATTTCAGCCTCGGAGTTTGTCGAGATTTTTGCGGGGATTGGTGCATCCCGCGTGAGGGATCTCTTCGAACAGGCGGGCTCTGCTTCCCTGAGGGAAGAAGAACAGCAGCTTCGCAGCATCATATGACAGAGTTGGAGGCCAAGAAGTCAGCCCCATGCATCATCTTCATTGATGAGATCGATGCAGTGGGCCGTCAGCGTAGCGCCGGCTTCGGCCAAGGTCAGACAGTGCATGAAGTGCATAGACTCAGACTGAGGAACTTACTCAGTATAGAATAGAGGCCGACACTTGCCTTGTGATTGGGCTACGGCAGAAACTGGCTAAAGGCAACGACGAGCGTGAGCAGACCGTGAACCAGCTGCTGACAGAAATGGATGGCTCCTAGACGTGCGGTTTTTTTCGGAGTAGTTACAGGTCCTGCGTTGGCGGGGGCAATTACCGAAGTTGCGTCAAGGCTTCGAGAGCAACAAGGGGGTTGTGGTCATTGCGGCCACGAACCGAGCCGACATCCTGGACCAAGCTTTGGTGCGACCAGGCCGCTTTGATCGTCAGATCCAGGCCGAATCGGCTTTTGTCATCTTTTGCCTGCTCTTGACTGCGCTTTCCTGCTCCTATCTGCAGGGCTTCGAAGAGCAAGCTCATGTTGTTCGTTACTGACCCTGTTCAGGTCGATCCTCCTGATGTGCAGGGACGTACCGAGATTCTCAAAGTTCACGCCAAGGATTCTGCTTTGAGCTTTGCGTTTACATGCCCAGCAAAGTAGGACTTCATCGTTGGCTTTGCCCGCTTTGCTTCCTCATGACTTTCGATGGCGAGGACAAGAACTTGGCACCTGGAGTTGACCTGTCTGCAGTTGCCCGGCAAACCCCTGGAATGTCGGGTGCTGACCTCGCCAACCTCCTGAATGAAGGCCGGGAATGCTGTCTGGGGTCTGGAGTCGGGTCTAAAGTCGGGATTCTGCTTCTGCATTCCTGAGTGAGCGGTGGAGCCCCTTCAGGTGCCATCCAGGCAGCCAGATCGAACAAAGCCGAGTCTTGCCTGCCTTCAAGATCTTGAGCATCATGGCTTCATGCAGCAGATCGAACCAAAGAGGCAAGTAGGAGCGTGCGTCACGAGGAGATCGATGCGGACGACATCTTCAATGCGCTCGAGCGCATCTCCATCGGCCTGGAGAAGAAGGCACCGCCTCGCAGTGGATAAGCCTCCGTGTGCTGATTGTTAATACGTGCTTGCCTGCATTTGCCTGCAGGATGCTGTCATGTCAGATCAAAAGAAGAAGCTGGTAGCGTACCACGAAGCTGGCCATGCCATCTTGGGCGCTTTGATGAGACTTCGGCTAAATTGTCTGCCCTAATACATCTCATTGTCGATTGGCGCTTGTGCTGCCTTCTGGCAATCTCCGCAAGTTTCTGGCGTAAGGAACGATTATGACGTTGTGGCAAAGATCAGCATTGTCCCACGTGGGCCGGCCGGCGGGGTCACCATCTTCATGCCGTCCGAGGATCGCCTGAACTCAGGTGCGAGGACGGTATGCACGGCTGTCCGTGAGGTGGGAGTGGTTGACTGCTCCGCCCAAGTCTCACTGAGGCCTATACTCGAAGGAGTTCTTGGAGAATCGCATGTGCGTGGCACTGGGTGGTCGTCTGGCGGAGGAGATCATTAATGGCAGGGACAATGTCACCACAGGCTGGACCACTGAATGGGAGATTCGACGCATCAGCAGAGAAGATTTTGCAGTTGCAGCTTTCATTCTACGTGCCATTTCCCAGGTGCCTCTAACGACTTCCAGCAGTGCACGCAGGACGGACATGGATTGCTTTGGGCAGTTGCTTTTTGGCAGTTACTTTTGGCCGTTGGCTCCAGGTGGCCAAGACCATGGTCATGCAGCTTGGCATGTCACCGGAGATTGGTCAGCGCCTTTTGGGAGGTCAGCAGCAGGGAGGACCCTTCATGGGACGTTCCCCGCTTGCAATGGCCGCAAGCAGTTTCCACTCACAGACATGTCGCCAACTTCCAAACTAAACGAGAGTGCCCTTCGCATCTGCCGACCTATAGGTGACTTTATGGGCCAGGGTGCGCCACCGATGTCTCAGGCTTCTGGGATGCAGCAGTGCGGAACAGTGCATCGACACACAACGGCGTATCGACTACCGACCGGTGCTCCACCAGTCCTGAATGCGCCTTTGTCTCGGTCTCTTTCGGGCTTGTTGTGGCTACTGAATGGTGAGGCCCTGAAGAAGACGGTCGATTCGGAGGTGAAGCGCATCGTTGACGAACAGTACCAGCGGGGAATGAAGTTGCTGAGGGTTCCCTGCCCTAAGCGGAAGACATCTTGCGCACGATGCAGAACGCCATGTGACGGCAGACAACTCAGGACAATATGTACCTTCTGGACACACTTGCCAAGACCTTGATGGAGGAGGAGAAGGTTTCTGGTCGTTGCCCCAGAGCCTGAGTCGTTCTCAGAGGCGTTCTCTCAGTCATTTCGAGCATCCTGATTAGCAAAGTGCAGAGGTGATCAGCTGATGAAGATGATCAACCAAGCGGCTGCCGAAGGCCCGTGCAGTGGGGCCGACGATAGCGGATCCTTCCCTCTTTCCTGCTTGGAGGCAAGCTTGTCATGGGCAACAGCAAGATGGCCATGGCAGCGTATGCTGGCGAGAAGGTACGCAAGACTGCTGCATGCGGCACGGGCTTGCCTGGCAACCGGCGCACCAGCACACAAGCGTAAGGGCGTGAGATCCCAGCAGGTCGAAGCAACTGCCGATGGCACCCTCGCGAAGAAGGCCAAGTGCGTGCACCCTGGGTGGCAGTCAAAAACATTCGAAGACTCAATGGGTTAACCAGCCCCAACCGCCCCCTGGGATTCTGGAAGCTCCAGTCGAGGCACCCCGACAAGCCCATGATGTTTGCTTGTGCGGAGCTGAGTTGCTCTGTAAGCTTGATACCGACAAAGAGGACTGTGCACACGACACCTGAGGTGCGGACTGTCCTCGGCGGGGCTTCTGCGGCTCTACACGCGCGGCTCCGCGTGATGGCCGCGCATCGCGAAGCGCTGTGGCTCGCCTGGGCTTGGCCTCGGAGGAGGTGGAGGCCAAGGAGTGCACCAGCGAGGAGGTGATGCGGCGCGTGCAGGCCCGAAGGGTTCCAAGAGTGTTCCAAGCACATGGTCTTGCGCTGTTGCGGCACGCTTTCCACACGCTTGCGTTTTACTGCCCTGCATCCTGAGGACATGGCTCTGGACATATCCAATGGAGAAGCGCTGCCGAATCAGGTGGTGAGGGCAGCGGCTGCTCAGGCAGCGCGGCCGTCTGGAAGAGCACGAGGTTGAGAGACACACTAGAATTTGCAGGAAGCTTCGTGCCAGGTGCTGGCAGCTCTCGCTGTTACCGCGGCGCCCATGGCTGCTCAGGCCATGACAGGGCGATGTCAGTTCCATCACGTTCTCCGTCAGTGTGAGGACAGAACCTGCTTGGTCTGCTTCTGCCCAGGCCGACGATGTGCCAGCGTTGCAGCCCTTCGGCGCGCCCCAGGTGCAGCAGCAGCCGGGCGGCGCGGTGCGGGTGAGTGGTGCCCTGGCTGGGGAGAGCTGACACATAGTCAGACTCAGTCTGAGGTTCTGGACTGCACAGGGCTAGAATGGCGAGAGCTAGCAGCATCTATTGGGCTTTAAGTGTTGTGCCATGTTTTGAGTTGGAGGTCGAGTCACATACTCTCGCTTGCTGGAGTTTGTTGACGAGGTGCAGCACCTTCACCTACAGTAACGTTGTAGGGAGCTCATGGCATTTGATGGTTTGGATTGGTTGTTGAACGAAACCTCAGGGCTCCGTGAAGCGGGTCGACTTTTATGACTTGGGTCGAACTGCCGTAGCCCTGGTCAATGTGGCTGGGCGCGAGCAGCAACTTGTGTGCGATCTTCCAGGACAGCCCCTTGGCCCCCGCGGCATCCCCTGTGGCATGCTGCATGATCTGCATGTCTACGAGTCTACTTCTGGACAGCATCTCGATCACACGATGCAGGAGCTACGACGGGGCTTATCGAGAAGCTTGTGTCCAAAAACATTGCCATCGAGGCAGGACTGCGCCGTCTTCCATGTGATTCCAATGTGTCTTTCACGTGTGATTCTATTGATTCTATAGTGATTCTGGAGGTGCATCAGCCGGAGAAGCCCAATCCGTTGTTGAATGTCCTTGGCGATGTTGCTTTCCCTTTGCTGCTCATTGCCGGGCTCTTGTTCCTGCGCTCTCGTACACCTGGTGGCGGCGGCATTCCAGGCTTCGAAGCTTTGACTTTGGCATTGAGGATTTGAGGGTTCATGTTAGCGCTACGCGGCTGCCTCTCTCAGGTTGCATGGCCTAGCTGTAGTTTTTCATGCGGACAGTACAGTCGGTAGAGTCAGTAGAGTCAGTCGAGTCAGCAGAGTTGGTAGAGCCCTGGGAGATCCTGGGAGGCTCAGGCGCTGCGTTGGGCAGTCATTTCACGAGTTGACAAAATCGAAGAGAAATAAATGAAGAAGTATAAATTTAAGTGATATCACTCTTGCAAGGCATCCGGCTCAACTTATCGATCGCAGCTGTCGCTACGAAGCTGAAGAGAACCATCTCAGTCTGGCAGTCTGGAGTAGACATCCCTGGCAGCGAGTGCTGACTCGAAACGGCGGCCTTTACAAAGGTTGTCAATGGTAACGAGCATGCCAGGTGGTCCGTCTGGGTTCAAGGGTAACAAATTGCACTTCGGCGCGCTTGAACGGCATCTAAGATGCCACTGGGTAAGACAAACCCAGTGGTGGCCAGGGTGAACGCTTCAAGGCTCGCTTCCTTTCTGCATGAGCTGCATCTAAGGCCGCAACTTTAGCTTCAGTCGTCAGCCGGAAGGTGTTAAGCAACAAGTTTTGACTCGGACTGCCTGCTCATGGCAAATTGCAGGCCGCACGACTGACATTGGGCGGGAAACTCAATGTAGTGGCGCGAGGCGCCAATGAGAAGCAAACTTCGTCTCAACTGTAACTCGCACAACGGACACGGGAACATCCTGAGACTCGGATGCGGCAACCCCTCAGCAAGGACATGATGCGGCCATGAGGCAGCCTCACGGTGCTCACGCTCTTCATTCTTCGACATACATGATGTGGATGCAGACGGTGTGGCAAATGCAGCGCGCTGGAAGAGGGCTCTTCGGAACAGCAGATAAAGACCACGAAAATAGCAAGACCTGACAATTCAGGCAGGACAGCGTTTCCCCAGGCGGCCTGGCAAAAGGCCCACAAGCCACCGCATGTGCAGAGGCGCGTGTGGAGAAAGCTTTCGGCAAAGGATTGCAGTCGACGACGAGCTGGGTGTGGTAGGGCCGCCCGTCATGCTCCCTTGATTCACCGTGTCTGCTTGCCTTGAATTTGCTCGTCTCCGACCCAAATCACGTCATATCATGTTGTTGCACATGTCCTCACGCCTTTCTGTTGGGTTCAACAGGCATCCAGCAGGCCAGGGGTCTCTTGAGAAGTCTGGGGGGCGAATTCGAAGGCTGGGGAAGCTCGGAAAGCCTCGGAAGCCTTGGGAAAGTAACGACAAGGAAACAGGCTGAAAGAGTTAACTCCGAAACTACAAACACCAGATCACATTGTTTTTTGGGAGGGTGGAGCCAGCTTCCATGAGGTGGCAAATCGTCGCACCCTGTTTTTGGAAACCGCGCGAAGCCAAAAACCATGCCAGGAATTAATCAATCCCTGATATCAAGCGGGCAGTTGTTAGATTTGGGTCAACCATTCTCGTCGCCCAGTCTCCTGGTCTGTGTGCCTCATCCCCCCAGAGCATGCCACAGAGTCTCCCACCGATTATCCTGGGAGTGTAGCGGAGGCAACCGCGAAGAATCCCGCGGCGAAGTATCCTTAATAACCTCTCCGCAAAGGGTAGGATGCACATCAGTCCTTGCAAATTTGTATACAGTCAGCTGGATTGTCAAATCAATCGTTCCTACCGGCCTAGCAGCCTCCAAGAACACAAACGCATGATAAGGCATGTGAGGTTTTACGGCCATGAACGATTCCAATGTTTGGCAAATGCAAAGGCTTCGGCAATCAGGGCCGTGCGAAGATCATGATCACACCTGAGACTGGAGTGAAGTTTCAAGACGTTGCTGGTATCGACGAGGCATGGATTCAACCGTTAGCTTAGTGTTGCCACCACGGTGTCATGGGGTGTCGACTCTTTGCTGTGATTTGGCAAGGCCAAGGAAGAGCTGATGGAGATCGTTGACTTCCTCAAGGCGCGCGGAAAGACAAAATGCGAGAAAGCTTGATGGCTGTTCCTCCGCGAGTGCGCTTTAGTAAATCTTAGTCACGCATCAAATTGAATGATCCGACACCCAGGCCCCCGAGCGTTTCGTCAAGGTTGGGGCCAAGATCCCGCGCGGCGTCCTCCTGACGGGGCCACCGGGCACGGGGAAGACGCTTATGGCAAAGGCGCCGCGCCCTTAGCACGGAGTCGTTTTGCTGCGCTCTGGGCTTTCCACCTTCTTGACCTTTTCGGCACTTTGATCTCCGAAATCTCAAGGTTGGCAGGCGAGTCTGGCGTGCCCTTCATCCAGTGGCGAAGCTAAGCCTTGGGCGGACTGTAGTGGGGAAAGACTCAACAAGCAAGACCTCTCTCTCTCTCGTTCTCTGTCTGTCTCTCTCTCTCTTTTCTTTCTCTCTCCCTCTCTATCACTTCTTGTTTCTGTTTCCTTCGACTCCGTTTGAATTGATTTCATCACGCATCTTGTCGCAACAACGAATTTGGCTGTCAGTTCTGGTAAGGAAGCTCCGTTTTGGGCTGCGAACCCTTGTTGTGGAAGTAGCTAACAGCTTCGACGCCATTGTAAGGTCCTCTGCCTCAGAGTTCATCGAGCTCTTCGTCGGCGTGGGAGCTTCACGTGTTCGTGACATCTTCAAGCAGGCAAAGGAGAAGGCACCAGCCGTGGAAATTGAAAGGAGTCTTCAGGGCCTTCCAGGTGCATGTTGCGAGAAGCCTTGCAAAATTCGCCACCTGCTGGCCTCAAGGCTCCGTGCATCGTCTTCATCGATGAGATCGATGCCATTGGACGCCAGCGAGGTGCACTCACGCACTTGTCTTGTGGGACTCTCCCTATGGACTTTCCTATGGACTCTGCCCAGCTTTGGGCCGATTTTTATCTGACAGACAGTCGCTGCAGGGGCGGGCATGGGCGGTGGCAACGACGAGCGCGAGCAGACGTTGAACCAGATCCTTACTGAGCCCGGTCTGCATTTCACTGCAATGAATGAAGGCTGCGTGGGGGCGGGGGGGGGGGGGGGGGATGGCAAAAACCTTTCACTCGAAGATACAGCGTGAACTTGCCGAGGAAATGGATGGCTTTGAAGGTGTCGGTGAGTTTGTTTGGAGCGTGCTGACGTTCATGCTGAAGTGCAGATTGATACTACTGGACACGCGCAGGCAACAGCGGGGTCATTGTTGTGGCGGCGACCAACCGATCCGACATTCTCGACAATGCCCTGCTTCGGCCAGGCAACATACCTTAAAACATCCGTGAGTTGCAAACAGGTTACCAGCAGCAACTTTGTTGCTGCCAGCCCTTTTTGCCTGTACCCCTCCTCCTCCTCCTCTTCCTCCTCCTCTTCCTCCTCCCCGGAAGACAAGTGTTGCACCGCCGCACTCGCAGCACGTCGCCGCTTGTTGAGAGGCCGCTTCGATCGTCGTGTGCAAGTTGGACTTCCTGATGTCAAAGGTCGGGAGCAGATTCTCAATGTTCACATTCGTTCCTTGACTGATGCGCGGGGAAGAATGGCTCTAGCACATGGACAGGGACAGGTTGGAAAAGGATCATTCAGAGAGAATTTTCAGAGAAGCCGAGGAAACAAGAAGCTGGCAGAGGAAATCACGCTGACCGACATTGCCAAGCGAACTGCAGGGTTCAGCGGTGCCGACCTGGAGAACCTCATGAATGAGCCCCTCGGCTTGGGATCTGAGATGATCGGTGTCTGATGCTCCGCGCTCCATCCCAAGCAAAGTGCCTGAAATGCCTCAAACTGTGCCAAGGTCGGCAATTCTTGCAGCTCGACGCAACAAGAAGGCCATCTCCATGGACGAAATCAATGATGCGACCGATCGCGTCATTGCCGGCCGCTCTTCCCAGCTGTCCAGCGTAATGCCAGCATCATCAAGAATCTACATCGGGATCTGTGAGTCGACGAGTACCTTTCTCTCTGTTTATTACGCTGCATACGCTCTATCTTTCGAGGCTTGGAGGGCCGGGCCTTGCAAGACAACGCAGCCAAGAAGCTCATTGCATACCACGAAGCAGGCAGCGTGCACTTCTCTGCGTTGATCTGTGTTGATCTGTGTTGTGTGTTTCATTGGGTTTCTGAAGTTCATTCATTGCCAAGGCCATGCCATTGTTGGAACACTGCTTCCGTACCATGACCCGGTCAACAAGGTAAGTGCCGAGCTTCAGTAGTTTCCATATAATCGTGACATGCAAGGCCTTCGTCAGACTTTTTCAGTGCTCTCACAGGTGACTCTTATTCCTCGTGGCCAAGCGAAGGGGCTGACCTGGTTTACGCCGAATGAGGACCACTGATGGATGTGTCTCACCTTGTCGACATGTATGGTTAAAGCAAGAAGCCAGTGATGTCAGGAACATGCGACCGCATGTGAGCGCACCATGGATCTGTCTTCAGGATCAGAGTCTTATCTCGGCAGCTATGTTGAAGGCACCTGCCAGCGACAGAGTCTAAAGTCTACAGTTTCCCGGACCGTTGGAGATGTGTGAAGCAGTCACGAGCATGTGGCAGTAGGATCAGCCATCGGTAATGGAGCTCTGCTTTGAAAGTTGCACGCAAGACCTGGGCGGGGGAAATGCTTGACACACTTGTGGCAACAAGCGCGTTGCACAAATTCGACACAGATTGGTCCGCCTATTGTTGCTATTCGCTCAGAACTGCATGCAACCCAAATCGCTGGTTTGTGCGTAGCGAAGCGAAGCACTGCAAGCGTTTCGATGTTGAGTTGAACTTAGAGTGCCGTCAGCACTTTCCAAGTCCCTTTGCTGCTCAAAGGGTTTGCAATGGAAGAGGTAGTTGTCACCAGCCCCAGGGAATTCGGGACATGCTAGGACCTAGGCTGGATGAAGTCTGCTGAACTGCTCGACTTGCGCGTGCCAGCAAATTGGTGCACAATGTGACGGGGGTCCTGAGGGTTGGCGGGAAGGGATTCATATGTGAATACAGCTGTAAGGACAAGTTTGTCCTGCTCGGTGTCAGTTTGTTTCGGAAGCTCCTTATCCAGCTTGTGACAGAGCGGACCTGGGGCCGGCAAAGCACCGTGGCTTTGGGCAGTGGCCTCGATCCTTTTCGTCTGCAGTCGCTGCCCTGGCCTCGATGCTTGCTCCGTTTCTCGAACCCTTAATTTCCCGCTGCTGCCACTGCCTCCATAGCCTCCACAGCCTCGATGGTCATCACCTCGTTACGGAGGGGGAGGGGGAGGGGGATGAGGAGGGAGGAGGAGAACGTGCACGCCTCGCATTGCGGGTATTTGAGCAAAAGCTGCGTTTTGATGGTGGGTGATGAAGAACATACGAAGGACCTACCATGCCAATTCCTGGATGTCACGGCAGAACACCAACTGGCGGGTCTATGGAAAGGACATGGAAGGGGAATTCAATGGTTGTACGGAGGCACATAAACACCACCGGCCCGGTATATCATGGCAGCGAAGTTGACATTGAACTGGTAAGACCAACACATACCACAGCCTTCTGGAATCTCTCGCTGGAAGCCCGTGGGGTTGTGGGTTTTTTGTGCGTGGAACTTGAGTTTCGATGAGAATTTCGAGAGGCACGCATTGCCGGTGCCCTGGGCGGCCGCGCAGCTGAGCAGCTTGTCTTCGGAACATCGCAAGTGACGACAGGCTCCATAGCATGGAGAATCTGGCGGACTTTAGAAAAGAAGTGTGAGTTGGCACATGTGCACATATTGGCGCAGGTGCCGGCGGTGATTTGCAGCAGGTGGAGCGAATGGCCCGGTCGATGGTGACCCAGTTTGGAATGTCGGAGGTCGGTGGAGTGCTCAGTGAGCCCAGAGGTGTGCGAGAGTGATCGCAGAGTGATCGCCGTGCTGTTCTGATTTGTGTGCCGCTGTAATTGCTTTGTTTGAGAGACTCCGAGGTTCCCTGGCCATCGATGATGGTGGCTTTATGGGCCCCGAGTACTCGGAAGACCTGAGCCGCAAGATCGATGATGCAATCAAGGCGCGCTGTTGCTGCGATGTTTCTGCGATGTAGCTGCGATGCCGAGCCTCTCGCCGAGTCAATGCCACGGGTTTGTCCAAAGCACCAACCAAGCTCCCAAGTCGGAAGTCGGAAGTCGGAAGTCGGAAGTCGGAAGTCGGAAGTCGGAAGTCGTCAGGCAATCTCGGATGAGTGCTATTTGAACGCGCTGCTCGCACTTGAATATGTCTTGCCCGGGCTAGCCTGCATGCAACTGCCATCCTGCTGATGCTCAGGCTCACCATTCTGATGAAGAACCGTGCCTGCCTGGATCGTGTGGCTGATGAGCTCACCGAGCTTGAGACCATCACAGGTACCTTTGCTGGCAGAAAAAACTGCATTGGGCTATAAGGGGCTAAAGGCTCGGCTTTCGTGTTGTAAGCTCTCTTGACAGGAGACCGGCTTCGAGAGCTTGTGGCTGAGTATGCAGAAATTCCCGAGAAGTTGGCGGCAGTCCAATACTTACCTGCTGTCTTCGCAATAGAACTGAGCAAGTGGCAATCCGCAAGCTTCAGTTTCAGCGCAATCGAGAACTGGTTCATGCATGCAGAGGAGCGTCGACATGTGCTTTGCTACCCGGCCCTTTACCCAATTGCAAGTTTGGCTGCCGGTACGGCTGTCAAGTCACGTAGAAATCTACACTATTCATTTGTCTGATCCTCTTGCCTCACCAATTCGACCACTTCGACCAACTGGTTTACGACGCCAGTGCTCTTCTATACTGCCTGCACATGTCTGCGCTGTTCTAGTTCCCATGCCTCCGGCCGGTGTCCCCAGGTCTGAGCCAATGATCCGGCACATAGCTTGAGTCTGGAACGCGCAGTTTCAATGTACATTGGTTTGCTCGAAGGTAGCCTCTGCAGGAGGACCCGCTGAATTTAATCTACGTCGGAACGCCAACTGAGGCAAACGCCCCATAAGTGTTGTGACTAGCACAGCACTCACACACAGGCACACAACATGTCCTCGGAGCTTCACGCCACACGGCGGCACCCACTGCCGCCGTACCTCAGAGAGTTTGGCCGTCCGGCGTCGCTTTTCCAGATTGCGTTCCTGCAACAGGCATTGACGCACAATCGGCCCCATCACAAGCTTGAGGCATTGTATGTGCTGATCTCGAGACCAGGCGTCACGAGCCAGCTTCCGACTTGTGGTCATCAGACCACCGTCTTCTCGAGATCGTTGTGAGTCCAGTTTTCAGTGAGAGGGTGCCAGGACAGAGCCATTTGGATTTTCGCACTAGGCCTTGGCAGACTGCCTGACTCCTGGCCCATGCCGGTACTTATGCCCTTGCTCTCTTGTCGCTGGCTATGTTCATGCAACTGAGATTGTGGGATTGTGGATGTTTCAAGCTTGAGTGCAAGAGCTTAGGCGCCGCATGTGGCATATATTTTGTGCCCTGCGTGGCATAGGAAAGAACCCAGCGTGCATGCATTTGTCCAGCACTTGGAAAACAGATCATGCCACACACAGCTGTACTTGCAGCAGTCTGGCGCTCATGAGATCATGTGTGAGAATTGTGAAGATTGACTGGCCGCGACAAAGACGACTGGTTTGGTGTTACCTGGAGAGGTCGCAGCTGAAGATCTGGAGTCCGCAAGGCTTCAAGCAGCCTTGTGGCGGCACCTGGATCCGAACAAGGCCCGCATGATCCCGCATGTCGAGGGTGTACTCACTCCTGCCCGGCATGCATGATGCTCGATCACACAGGTGGGGCACACGGATCTGAAAACTGTAACCCTCTTCTTCCACGTGCTTATGGGCGCTGCAGGACACTTACAGAACGGACTGAGGAATAGCGCGTGGTGTCTGCCTGCTCACTTCAGTTCTAACCCCGGCTTTGAAGTATAAATCTTGTGAATCTCGTGTAGGTTTAGAAAGGCTCTAATGTCAAAGATCCTATGAGAACCTCTCACGCGTGGGGCTGGGGCCGAGGATTTCACACCTTCCGCTGTTTTGGAAGCCAAGGTCGATGATGCAGCTCAGAATGCGGGCAGTGCCATGGAGGAACACGGAGAGATAGAGACTATGGGAGAATGTCCATTTGACGCCATGAGATGTGGGGAGTATCGGTGCTACATGGTGCTACCTGCACTTGTGGCGCTCCGTTTGACTGGCGAGTCCGCGCAGGAGCCGGGAGCTTCACCCAGCAAGTCGACACCCAGTGAAGGCAAGACCGATGCAACAAAAGTGGCATCATGAAGAAAGGAACATCACAGGAGGATGCGGCAAAGTGAGTTCAAGTGGGTAGTTCTTACATGTGTTGAAATCCGCTGAGCAGCAAAAGACACCCTGTGAAGGTGGAAGCATTGCCTTGCAATCGATCAATGAAGAGAGCTATGCGGAGGCCAACGGCAAAAACGACCAAATGTCGACGAAGATCAACAAAAGACATCAACAACAACCATCTCTCTGTCAAGTCCGTTCGCAATTTTTGTCTCGATGCTGTTGCGGCTCGTCGGCTGCGCTGCAATGTATGCAGTTCTGCGGCCACGTGCCACCCATCCACCGCCGTGCCAGGGGGACTCTGTCTTGGCAGCGCTGAACAAGAATGCTGGCACGCAGGAAGATGAAGGAGTGGAGTTGCGCAGAGTTGCATGGGGAGTTTTCATGGGGAGTTGCGTGGGCATGGTGCGCCGGTTTCGCTTGTTGTGGCCTTTACTCAGACCGGCGGCTGGTGGAGTTGCTGCTGCGATTCGATCCGATCAGGCTCAGAACCGAGTGCACACCTCAGCATTATTGAGCATTCAACTCCTCGAAGTGAGAAAAACACGGTAAACTCCATCCGCTAGAGACAGAGCGACACGACGTGCAACGAGGTGAACGAAGGCGCGCGAAGGTAGTTCCCTGAATCCAGAAGAGGACAAAGGCAAAAAAGGCACAAGGTACCACAAAGGTCCCTGACAAAGCTCAGAACTTAGAATGAGTCGGCTCAAGGTCCAAGGCACAAAACAGTCAGAGTTTCGTGTGGTATCCCGCAGTGTTGGAGTGCCCATCCCCAGACAATCCTGCAGAGTATGCCCTCGGATTGGCTGGGTGATGCCCACATTTGTGGACTGTGAAAAGCTGTCGTCCCGCAATGCACGTCTTGTGTTTTCCTTCCGTCGGTGGGGACTAGGACCGGACCTGCTTTTTTGAGATGTTGAAGTCAGCTCTCCTGGGCCTGTGCCGCTGAAAGCAGTTCCCAATCCTGATCCGACAGTATCTCGTTTCCGTGGAGTGCCCCCAGAGTATCCTGCGCATACTCTGGGGGCACTCTACGGACACCGGATACTGTCGAGGGGATCAGGATTGGGAGCGTCATCTTTTCACGGACAGCTTCTTTTGCCCTTTGTCATTGTCTTCTTTGGGCCTTCTCCTTCGGATTGGTCGTTCTCTTGCTGGATCTTGCAGCTTGGAGACGAGTTCAGTTCAGTCTTGAAGCCAAGGTTCCAGCCACTCTTGCTGCACCGGATGCACTACCAGAGCATGGCAGAGGACAGGGCTGCCCTTTGGGTCGGATTGGTGCATTGCTCTCTTTTTTTTTGCTTCAGGAGAAGTCACCCCGGAGGGAGAAGGACGGGATCAACGCGGGATGCCTCAGCTGCTTGAATCGGTCCTGTGTGTCTCGTATATCTTCCAATCTGCCCATGGCCAGCAGTAGGTTGCTCATGGCCTACAGTGTCTACAGGTTGTCTTTCAGTCTCAATGTAAAAGCCCCCTCGACAGTTGGTCGCATTGCTTCACAACATGCAGTGCATTGTGGTCCACAGTCTAAGCGGGCTTTTCCATATCAAGTTGGGCAAGGTGGTGAATCCGGTCATTGATGCACAGTCGCGCTCCATGGCGGAGAAGTTGCTGGAGAAGCAGAGAAGCATGCCGGCTCAGACAGAAACAAAAGAGTTTCTGGTTGGAGGTGTGGAGAAAGTTACAAAGAGCAAAGTGCACTGGAGTACTGGTCGTCTTTTCCTACTTGAAACTACTCGGCCGCAGAGTGTGCTCAGGTGAGTCGGGCAAAGCCACGCACGCAGAGCTTCTTCTGTGGCGCCACAAGCAGGTTCAGGCTGTTGGGTGCCGCGTGCTGTGCGCGATTGCGAGCACTCTCGAAACACATTCGACTGCTAGGCCCGAAAAGAGTCTTTGCGGGAGCAGATCAGCAAAGAGGAGGCCAGTCTCCGCAGAACCCCACGGACCAGCAGCACACAGTGGCACTGCCAATCCTTTCACAGGAGAAGGGCTGCACCTTCCGTCCGAAGTGCAATCCACCAAAGCCAAGAACTCAGATCCTTCACTGGCGCCTCTTCACATGACGCGTGGCCAGAATGTTTGAGGCCAAAGGAGGGCCACGTCGAGATCTTGACACCGGCAGGCAGCACCCGAGCAGAGGCCCGCCAGTCAACAGCTCCAGACTCTTCAGAATGTGAAATTTTGTCGTCCTGGCATTGTCCATTCGTGGAGAGTTCAAAAAAAGTGCATATCGATCGCACGATCGCAAAGAAGAAAAGGGTGCACTTCGCTCATTTCTGTGCAGGCTTCGGATATATTGTTTGAACATTTTCACTATCTTCCGGCTCTTGCAAGGAGACAGGTCCGATTCCTCCAGGAAAGACACCTGCCAGCCTATGTCAGCCGGAGAGCTCGTGCAAAACCCCTCGCAACAGCTAACGCAAAGGGCAGAAGCATCTGGTGCGGGCACAGCGAAAGGAAACATTTTTTCCGAAAGCCCGCGCGTGTCATTCTATGTCATGTGGATACAGATTTTATGTAGGCTTTTAAGGGCCCTGGCAGCATGCGGGAACTGTTCTTCACTGTTCTCAGTCTTGCTTCACAAAGAGTTCTGGAGGCCGAATAGAATAGTTGCGCTTGGAGCGAAAGATTCAGGATTATCCCGTACCCTGAAAGCAGTGGCTCTGGACAGGCTCCTGACATATCACTTTGTGGAGAATATTTCGGTACATTTCCCCCCCAGATCTGCAGGCAACGTCGCTCTTGGCACATGCGACGATGACACCCCATGCTTCCACTGGGAACTCGCACCGAGTCCACGCAACTACTCCACAAACCAGTCGAAAAGGCCCATGGACCGAGCCGTTTGTGTACGACAAAACCCTGCTCCACACATGGCACGTGGAGAATGACGAAGGCGAGAACATTCTGCAAACTCCGATGGCTCCCAAGCCATGAAGGAGCCAGGGAGCCATGGTCACAGAGCCAAAGTTCCGGGCCGCGGCCCATGGCCTCAGCACCCCGCAACAACCACAAACCCACGAGTCCAAGTACCTGCAAGCACGCCTACCCGTACGGATGCGCGCCGGACTCCAACTACATGGCTTCACAGGAGAAGCAAGAGATGGCGCAGAAAGAGCACGCGACAGAACTGCCCAGAATCTGGGTGGCAGACGCATTGATTCGAAACACGGAATGCCACCCGCCGCCCCGAGGACGAGGCACGATCCTGTCTGCAAACACGAACATCACGATAGTCTTTTGATGGACAGGTCGAACGTATACTAAACCCTCGGGACCGAGGAACCCTGGGCGTATGGGGATGGAATGATACAACAGGATACAACAGGCAGAGTATGTCCATGCGGTTATGTGCAGCGATTCGTGCTTACTGTCCTTATTGGTCACCCGGATTTGCGGAGAAGCGGTGCTTAGCTTTGCAGGTTCTTTATGCTCGAGGTCTTGCCGACAAAGAGCGGCGGAAGGCCAAGGCAGGGTTCCGCCAAATTTCTTCCGCTTCTGCAAGCACATGCAAAGCACATGCAAAGTGCAAGCACGAGGTTCTGGAGAGCGAAAAG